GGATGGGCGGGTTATGAGTCTAGGGGACTTAGGAGGAGCGGGGCAAGGGTAAGGTTTGGGTGGGGAAGCCATCAGGCCTATAGCGGAGAAGCGGACGCCTTTCTGGCTGTTCCATGCTGGGGCTGGGAGAGTCTCAGGGGTCTGCTGGGTGTGGAATCCTCCGCAGGCCCGGTACGGTCTTATTTCTGAGAAGGGCGGTGGGGAGGAAAGCGCGTGATATGGGTCTGTGTCCAGGAGTGTGCATTTGTGAGTATGAGCCATTGAGCATAGGTGTGGGATCTAGCGCCCCAGTGTCTGTGGTGCCTGGCAGGTGTGGGCATGGGTCTGCGTGTGGATTTGGTGTCTGTCTGCTCAGATCCCAGAACATCCCCATCTCATGCTCCACTTCTCACCAACAGATGCATTAAACTCACGCGCCTGGGATTCAAGGCCCTTTGGCAATGCTTTTGGTATACAACACAGCTGCCTAGCTGCATCTCCTAGTGGCCTCCCCATCCTCTCCTCGTCTGACAGTAACAGCTAACATTTATGGACTGCTTCTTAATGTGCCAGACTCAGGTATAAGCCCTTTACGTGTATAAACTCACTTAACTCTCACATAACCCTGTGAGAGAGGTGCTAACTGCCCCCATTTCACAGTTGAGAAAAGTGAGGCACAGCCAGGAAGTACAGGATCCAAGACAACTGGGCCCAAGCTGTACTAGAAACCACTATTCTCTGTCACCTCAGCTTCTCATTCTCTAGGGTCCTCTCCTTCCAGGAAGCCTTCCTTGATAAGGCACTTACAGGTCGCACAGCTTTCCTGTTCCTGTCACCCCTTTGTGATTAGGCGATGCTAACACTGGGCTTTAGGTAAGGTGTGTAGGAAACAGAGGCTGGCAGACAGGTCACAGGTTGCCACCAGGGAGCATTCAATCTCCTTAGAGACAGCCACTACACAGAACCCTGCTGGGCCCGGCTCCAGCCACCTACCACATCACAAAGCATCTGTATCCCCCTAACTTGTCACACTCTTCCTCAGTTCCTGGGCCACTCCCTGCCTCCCTGCACTCAGGTTATCTCTTCTGACCACCCTTGATGGGGTTGACCTATTTGGGGGCCTTGGAGAGAAAGTTTTCTATGGACCCAGCCCTTTCTTCTCTCCCCAAAGACCCAGCCCTTCACTACCTGCACGCAAGTCCCTTCCATGCTTCAGCACTGTCCCTGAGCCTAAACAGGCCTCTACTGTGTGCCCTGCCCCTGTGGGCCCTAATCATCCCTCATTCCTCCTACTAAGCAAGATTTCTCAGCTGGTACCAGAAACCTGAGTCAAGCTTCCTTGCCTCTGGTCATGGGATTTCATTCTGGCGAGAAAGGGAAGGTGGCTAATTGGCTAACCCCTCCCTAGGGCATGAACTTTCCCCACTCCCCTCACTGTCCCAGGAATTAAGAAATCCCCACCCAGTGATTTTAAGACACCTCCTAAATATAGAAGTTTCAGGTGGACACCTACACAGAGCGCCAGCCTGGCATCCCCTCTCAAAGCTCAGTGGCTTGTACAATTAGTCTTTTGGATGCAAGTCTCATCTATCTGTGCAGGCAAGTCCTGTGATGCGTACAGAGCATTTTCAGGTCATTTCCTCATTCACCCCATGTAACTGCTCTAGGCAAAGAAACAGATAGTGACTAGACAGTCTCTGGACCAGGTCTGCCCTGCACAGCAGCTAGCGTTAGCCTCAGTACTTTCCACCATCAGCACACCTCATGGGAAACAGCAGTCCTTGGCTGGCTCATCCACTGGGGCCCTGCCTCAGTTTCCCTACCCCACACTGCTGGCCTGGCCATGGCTCTGACTCCGGCTGTTGCCTAGCTCCTTCCCTAACCCTCCTCCACACTAGGGCCTGGGCCTGTCCCTGGACCCTCAGTGACTGGCAGGGGTCCATACAATTCACCACCCTGGTTTCTTGGTCTGGCTTACATCTTTTTCTCAGCTCAGAAAGCTCTTTTTTGGAAAGGAATATTAGGCAGCTTTTTAAAAGGCTTTATTTTAAAGATATCTTTCAAATTTTAGACTCATTTTCCTTAAGGAAAAATCTGATGGTTCTTCTTTGAAAAAGTTAAGTGTGCATCACAAAAGCACTATTTATAATAATCGTTAACTCTTAGTGATGTGGTTTGCTATGTGCCAGCTATAGTTCTAAGTATTTTGCAAATTATGTGTTCCTCTGATCCTTGCAACCACCTCATGAGGTACTTACTACTACTGTCTCCATTTTAAGATGAGGACACTGGCCTGCAGAGTTCACTGACTTGCTCAAAGTCATAGAAAGCAATCCCAGAGGGGTCTCTGGCTTTGGAGTCTGTGCTCTCAACCAATGACTGTGCTCAGAAGAGCCTTCACACATTCCCTCAAACACCCTTCCGAAAATTCACCCTTTTGTGCTCTGAGGCCTTGATGCTGTCTCATTGTTAGAAATCTCCATGGTTAAATTGAAAAAAAATATTGTCACCTTGACTGAGGAGTAGTTTACATATAACATACGGAATCTGTTTAAAGTGTATGATTCACTGAGTATTAACATTGAAGGCCCTGGGAAATCACCACTACAACCGAGACATGGGGAATCTTCATCACCCTCATAGGGCTTCTCAGGCTCCTTTGCAGACCCCTTTCTCTACCCCTTGCCCCATCCAATTACCAATCTACTTTATGTCACTATAAACTAGCTTATATTTTCTAGAATTTCAGAAGGAACTATACAGTATGAAGTGTTCTGTGTATGGCTGTTACCACTCTGCTTGTTGGTGTTGATTCACCCACAGTTTTGTCTCTCAGTAGTTGTTCTTTTTATTGCTGGATCAGTGCTCTGTTGTATGGGTGAACTGCATTATGTTTATTCCTTCTCCAGTTGTTGGACGTTGGGTTGTTCCCAATTCTCGGCTATTATCAATATCAATAAAATTGCTGTGAATACACATGAAAAAAAGAAAGAAATCTCCACGGTTAATAAAGTTATTCTAGCCCTTTGCTAGAATAGCATCTCTTAATAGAATTTCTTAAAACTGGTTCACTATTGTTTCTGTTTAATGTCAAATGCTGAGATGACAAGAATTATTAATGTCCTGGGTCACTGTTTCAGTGGGAAGCATAGTGCCTGAGCCTTAAAGTATATATGCTTCACTGGGGAGGGGCAGAAGGGGACATTAGATTTCTCAGAAGTGTTTCCCTTTTTATCAAAATGCAATTTTTATTTGTGTGACTTAAGAACAATCAGTAAAAAACACCTTCTGTGGAAGTCTAAGACGGCACCCAATGATCCGCACCTCCTGGTGTTTACCAGCCTCATATCATATCCTCCCTTTGAGTAACTTGCTTCTAACCCATAGAGTATGGCAACATTGAGATGTCACTTCTGTGATTAGATTGTAGAAAACTGTGGCTTCTGTCTTGCTAGGACTCTATCATTTCTTGGCCTGCATGCTTTGATAGTGAGCTGCCATGTTGGAAGGGCCCACATGGCAAGGAATTGAAACTTCCTGCCCACAGACCTTGAGGAACTGAATGTGCCCAGCAAATGAGACTGCAGACTCTGGACTGACGCCTTGATGGCAGCCTTATAAGAGACTCCTGACCTACAGAAATGGTGAGATGACAAATGTGTATTGCTTTAAGTCACCAAGTTTTAGGATAATTTGTTATGCAGCAATAGATAACTACTATACTCTATAAAATCATGAATTTTTGAGAAGCTGATTAATAAATCATTATACAAACTAGTGCAGAATAGAAGATCTAATCTAGACAGGCATAAGTTACCTGAAGCCACATATGTTGTATTTTAAGTACATCTGTGTCAGAACCACCTGAGGACCCTCAACTCAGTCTTTTGCAGTCAGGGAAAAGTACTGGCTCTAGGGCGGAGTTGAATATGTGAGGCTCAATAATCAATGACCCCCCTCTACCTGCTTCAGGCCCAGTGGTGCTTAATGACCAGGACAATCCCATCTGGGGCTCTCAGGCAGAGGCCCAGTCTCCCAGTCACATGAGGCCCCTAAGGAGCGACTTCTTGCCACCCCTATCAGCCATAGCAGGCTCAATTCTTCCTCCCCAAGGTCCTCCCCTACCCTCATACCACAGCTCCCAGCAAGAACCCTGATCAAAAGGGAGTTCAGATGGTCTGGAAAGGAGGCCACTAGACAACAGGTGGAATAGAAACACAAGCTCAAGAAATGCATTACTTTGCCCCAGTTTATTCATCCTGGGTTGGTCCAGAGGCCAAGTTCACACTCAACATGCAAGAGCTAGTCAGAGTCCCCAGGGCCACTGCCTTAGCCTCACTTTCTCTACTTTTCACACACACCCCTGCACACCACCTTGGTTGTCAGGGATGGAACTCTACTTAGAGAGAGTCAGAGAGGGCCCCACATTTTGCAGATGGGAGGCTGAGGGCCAGAGGCAGAATCAGTGACCTCCAAGCCACTGCCCACTGCCCACGTCATCAGGATCGTGCATTCTCTTGTCTCCAGAAGCAAATCAGAGTGTGGCTACCTCAGCCCTTGGTTTTCCCCAGAACTCACCCACTCTCCACCTCAGAGCCTCTGCTGCAGCCTGTCAATCCCCATATGAAGGACCATGCAGTGACAGAAGGGGGTATGACCCAGCATCCCAAGAATTTCCAGAGGCTGTACCGACCCTTCCCGTGCCCACCCAGAAAAGTCAAACTGTGGCTCCTCCTGGCCCAGACAGTCAGATTTCAGGGGAATGGACCAAACTATTCAACATCCAGTGTTGCTAAAGCCAGAGAAGCACAGCAAGCTGAGGTCCAGAGAGGGAAGGGAGAATTTTACCAACAGCTGTGGAATACCTTGTCCATTCCTTACATGCTTGTAAGCATACATTCCTCTTCATCAGAAGCTTCAATCAATATGGCTTGCAACAGCTCCTTTGCAGTGGAGATGTGTGGTTTGTTTGGAACTGATACCTTAGGATTGCCGTTCTCTTCTTCACAGGATTCAGTCAGATTTCAGGGGAATGGACCAAACTATTCAACATCCAGTGTTGCTAAAGCCAGAGAAGCACAGCAAGCTGAGGTCCAGAGAGGGAAGGGAGAATTTTACCAACAGCTGTGGAATACCTTGTCCATTCCTTACATGCTTGTAAGCATACATTCCTCTTCATCAGAAGCTTCAATCAATATGGCTTGCAACAGCTCCTTTGCAGTGGAGATGTGTGGTTTGTTTGGAACTGATACCTTAGGATTGCCGTTCTCTTCTTCACAGGATTCTGCCTTTGCTATCTCCCCCATCCCCATCTCCCATGTGCCCAAAGGCAGAGCTCAAGAGCGACTGTTCCCTATCTTCTTTGATCCCATCCCCATCCTTGCCATGGTGTCTATCACCACCCCAGTTCCCTTCCCTGATCCTAATTTTCTACCAATGCCCTGGCAAAATTGCAGCCAAAGAGCCATGGCTGGCCAGAGCAGCCACCAAAATGCACGCAGCAAATCCACCACCAGGAACAAAAGCCTCAGCAGAGCAAGGTCTGGGAGGAGTGAGGGGGAAGGGAAAGGAGAGGTGGCTTGGGAAGTCCCAGGAGAATGGATCAGCCACAATTCTCAGATAAATGACAGCAGGCTAGCCCTCTCTCCAGGGAGCAGTGGGACCCCATGGGGAGAAAAGGTGAGGGTAGGCCATGGCTAACACGGCGTGGATGGATGCCCCACAAGTACAACTGAACGTATATTTGCACACACTTGCCTGAGGGTCTGCCTCCAAATACCTATGCTCCTAATATACACTTCCCATGCCTGCATGTGCACACATGCACCCCTACACACAGGCCTGCACACAGAGGGCTCACTCACACACACACACACCACAAGCCTACACTGCAAACTCACATGCACATACACCTTTTGTATGTATATCTTCACTCACACACATACACACGTTGGGTACCTGTCCACACATGGATATTCAAATTCACTCCCTCTTACAGACATGCTATACATAATATGTACATACCCACACATAGGCCTGCACATAAATTAGCTTATGTGCACATGCAGCACACACATGCTAATGCACAGGTGTTCACACATGCCTACACATACTGGCTGACGAGGCAGCACATACATACTCACTCATGCTTGTCTGCACTCATATCAGCAAACAATCACATGCTTACTTGTGCACAACCACACACATGCCTGCAAATACACATATATACCCTCGCACCCCAGTGGAGGCACACTCTTAGCCCTGGTCCTGGGACCTGGAGGGTGCTGCTCTCTGTTGAAGACAGCGGATAAGCTCCTTCCGGTTGTCCAGGATGGTGTCAAAGCTCTCCTGCAGACGGGCCTGCTGGTCAACCAACTGGTGCTGCAGAGCCCGGATCCACCGGAGCAGGGCCAGGCGACGGTACATCACCAAGTGCATGTGGTGCTTCTCCTTCTCTTGCTCTTTGTAGCGCTCTTGAGCCTGCAGCTGCTGTACAGCCTGGGCCACTGAGGGTAGAAGGGGATCTGCAGGGCCATGACCTTGAGGGGTCCCACAGGTGGGCTCAGGACTGCTGCTAGGGCTGTCGATGCTCAGGGAGCTGCTGGCATAGCCATTGTCCTCCAGAGGGGAGCAGACTGTGCTGGCACCACCCATCTTCTCATGCTCGGCTCCAGGGATCTCTGCCCCCTCGGGTGGGCTGCGAACTTCCCCCTCAGGGAGTCCAGGGGCCTGGAAGGCCTGGGTGTGAGAGGGCGACTGGGAAGAGCTCCTCATCAGGATGGGCTCCACTTGGCCTGGCATCCCATGCCAGTTCTCATTGGCATCCTTGGTACTCGCCATGAAGTTGGAGTTGTTGTCTGGCTGGAGCTCAGGCTGACATACTCCAGGAGGTGGGCCCCCTGGAAATTGGCCCCCCTCAGCTACCCCTGGCTGGATGGCAAACATCTGGTCTGTAAAGCGGAAGCAGAAGAATGGGTCAGAGCAGGACAGGGTGGAGTGTCTGAAGTCCTGGCCCCGGAGCTACAGGGCCGGCAGAGGCAGCAAGAACAAGCCTGGCTGCTCCTTCTCAGCAACTTTCCTCCACTCTGGTAACACGCGGTTTTCCTCCTCCCTTTCTGCCTGTTGACTGTCAGCCTCCTGCAGTGTTTTCCCTCAGCCCTTTGAGGCAGGCTGTCTTCTCTTCCTATGCACTTCTTCCCAGATGACCTCATCCTCTGCTGTTGCTTCAAGAACTATCATGTGGTGGTGACTCTCAGATCGTCTCCAGCCTAAATCCAACTGCTTTCCAACTCTGGGCCTCTCAAATTCGCCATGTCCAAACCAGCTCTCCCTCTCAGAGTCTCAGCAAAATGGCCCCACTGTCCTTTCCAGCCCTCTGAGCCAGAAACCTGGGAGCATCCTGGACTCCTTCCCCTGTGTCATTGGCCACCAAATTCTGACAACTCTTCCTCTTAGAAACCTCTGTGTGTGTATGTACATACATCACCTCATTTTCACTTGGTTCAGGCCACTTCTTACTTGTATTACTGACTGCCACAGCCTTTTCACTGATCTCTCTGCCTTCAGTTAAAAATGTACATGTGATTTGTCACAGCTCCAAGTGCCCTCCCTAAACTCGTGCTAAACCCCTACAGGGCTGTGCTTCGTCAGGACCCTGCTCACCCCTCCACACTTGCCTCCTGCCACTCTGCCCCTCTCACCACACCAAACTGCTCAGAGGTCTCAGAACACACCAGTCCGCAACTCTCGTAATTCCTTGGGCCTACAGTGCTCTCCTCTCCCTTCCCCCTCAGCTCCTCCCCTTCCCACCCAGCAAACTCCTTTTTGTGCTTCACAACTCAGCTCTAATATCCCCACCTCTTCCTGATATTCTTCCCACTGTCCAAACATAAACAAACACACACAATGAACTATGCCTTCCTGCGGGCCCACTGCCCCGGGCACACACTGTCTCACTCATGTTTGTTTCCTATCCCTGGCACATAGCGGATGGCCAATAAACGTCAATCTAGCTGCATTTTTTGTTTTGTTGTTTTGTTTTTTGTTTTCCACTATCTTGTGATAGCAGCATATAAATCTTGCTCCCCACTAGATGTGGAACTCGTCTACACAGGCATACCCCATTTAAATGAGCTTTCCATTATCATGCTTCACAGATACTGCATTTTTTACAAACTGAAGGTTTGTGGCAATCCTGCATTGAGGAAATCTATCAGCACATTGTTACCAACAGCACTGGCTCACTTTGTGTGTCTAGGTGACATTTTGGTGATTCTCCCAAAATTTCAAGCTCTCTTGTTATTGGTATATTTGTTGTGGTGATCAGTGATCAGTGATTACGGCTCACTGAAAGTCAGTTGATGGTTAGCATTTTCTAGCAATGAAGAATTTTTTAATTAAGGTATGTACTTTATAAAAGACAATACCATTGCACACTTCACAGACTACAGTTCAGTGTGAATGTAACTTTGATAGGCACTAGGACGCCAAAACATTCATTTGATTCACTTTACTGCCAAGGTTTGGAACCGAATCCACAATTTTTCCTGAAGTATGCCTGAATATCCTCCATCATATTCTCAGGTGTCAGTCATACTTGCACAGTGAGCGAATGCAGGGGGACTGAGGGGTAGCTAAGCTCAAGCAGAGGAGCCAACAGTAGCAGGAGGTTCCTGATGACTGCCCAGGGCTGGAAGAGCTGGGGTTCAGTTCCCTCATCTGCCTCAGGGTGACACCTGACCCACCCCCATTGACAGCCTCTCTTCTGATCTTGCCCCCACTTTCCGCCCTGTTATCTTGTGTCCCCGCCCCCAGCTTGCTTCATCCTGAGGCCCTGATGGAAGGGCATGCACACTATTCTTTCCTTCACAATAACCGATTTCTACCAAAATCAGGGTTTGAATTGACAAGAGGTTTCACTGACCACAACTGCTAGGATTAGAAAAACTGGAGTTAGAGTGAGGAATAGCGTAAGCGGAGCAGGCACTAGGAGGATCTTTACAGGTGGCAGGGGGCCTCCCCACATCCAGCAGTGGGCACAAGTCCTGCGGGGAATGGTGTAGAAACGGCCCCTTCGCACCCACATCTTTCCATTTCGCTAAGGAAAGTGCTGGAGATCTTCCCCGCCCAAAAGTTTTGTTTTTCCTAAACTTGGGCGGGGCCGTGAAGGAGGCTGGGCTGGGGTGGCGGTGATGCTGAGGATCACGGGGCTCTCAGAGAATGTAAAAGGGGACGCGGCCCCCCGGGGGTCAGGCTGCTCCCCAGGCTAAGCCGCGGGGGCCCGGCGCGGGGAGGCGGCCTCCCCGCCTCGCGGGAGAGGACCAACGCCGGCCGGCAGCGCGAACCCCACCCTTCCCTCCTCTCCCCGTAGGAGGCCGCGGGCGGGGAGTGCGACTCCCTCCGGCGTCTCCCGCGGCTGGGCCCCGCTCCCGCCAGCTCCCGCCCGACTCACCGCCTGGAGGCGCCCGCCCGGCGCAGCGGGCGTGGGTTCCGCAGCGGGAACTCGTTCCTGCGGCCGGGATCCGTGGGCCTGGGCGCCCCGCGGACCTGGCGGTGTGGCGGAGGGTCCCCGGCGGCGGGACTGCGGAGTCGGGCGGTGTCAGCGCGGCGGGGCGGGGCGGCCGCGCCCACGTGGGCCGGTTCGGTTTTCCGCCGAACGGCGAGCCGGGCCCGAGCGCCGGCACCGCCTCCCCCTCCTGCCGCAGGTTTGACCGAGGCCTGCCGGATCCGGTTTTACCTTCTAATTGCATTCACAGGGCCCCTCGGACCCGTTTGCCTCACTGCAGCTACAGTGACATTTTCAAAATGAAAAATTTTGATCACGTCACTGCCCTCCTCCTGCTTAAAACCATTCAGTGGCTTCCCCACTGCAGTAAATCCTTAAAGCCACAGGGCTCTGAGCATCCTGCCCTGTCTACCGTTCCATCTTCATCTTTTGCCCTCCATCTCTGCACCTAGGCCTCACGCCCCTTTCTAACACGCGGCTTTTGCACATGCTGTTCCCCCTGCCTAAAATTCTGTACCCCCTCTCATTTACTCAGACTCTCGTTTCAGATAAACCTCTGATGTCCTAGACCAGATTAGTTTACCCTTTTATGTCATTGAAGGGCATTTTGTTCTTTTTCTTCATTGCATCTATCACAATTTAAAATTATGTGTTTATTTTCTGCTTATTTCATTACAGTAACGTAATGAAAGTTACGTTTCAAGAGGAGAAAATTCTCTCTGGAGCAGGAATGGATCTAATGTCCTGCACGCAGGTCGGGGTAGCTTCCTCTCTTCAGGGCAGAGAACCTTTCTGGGGTGCCTGCGCCCAGTGTTTCTCAGTTTCTGATATTTGAAGCCTGAAGCTTCTCATCCCTTTCCTCCTTGGGAGAAATGTGTAGGGCTGCTGGGTCAATTTGCAATCAAAGAGAACAGAGTAATTGCTGACTAATGATAAAATTAAAAAACACTGGCTTGTGTTAGGAAAATTAAGGCTTCCTACACTAAGTTCTTGCCTAAGGCAGCCCCAGAAAGCAGACTGGGACAAATTTAGCCTGCAGGGTATAAGGTCCCTGCCACACCAACACTTTGCTGAGCAAACCAGGCAATTGGCTACACTTTCCTCATGTCCCCTCCAAATAAAAACATAACAAAATAAAACTGATATGGGCTTATCTTTGAATCATGGTACATTTAAAAATACCCTGTCTTTCCTTCATTCATTTCTTCTGCCTTTTTTTTTTTAATGAGGAAGAATTCGAGTCTGTGATCTCCATGGGAAGGCATCCTCTTCCCATTCCAACTTGATGCCAACTTACCGTTCTGCAACCTAGTGACTAAAAGGCAAATTAAATCACACCACAACTCCTATATATAAAAATAAGGGAAATGGAAGAGAAAAAAAATTTTTTTATGATCATGGCAACTCCTGTTTTAAGAGGGAAAAAGAAATAAAAGGGAGAAGGCAGAAAAAACTCAAACTTTGGACACTCCCCCAACTAAGAATATACAGGTGGGGACCTCAGCTAAATTTCTACATTAGGTCCTTAGGCCTAACTTAGTGTTTCCTTTTCCCTCATCCACTGCAAGTTCCCCTTGACGTTAGTCAAAATTTTCTTCCTCATGAGGAGACCCAAATCCACTCCTAAAGGCTCTGAGCTTTGATGGTTAGAGTTTTGTGGGTCTTCCCATATCACATGGCCATAATGTCATTTAATTGCTAGAAGGGCCTGGAAGATCCCCTCCCGCTTTCAGACTCTGTCTCTCCCAGTGCTAACCACGTGAGCCAAACAGGTGTTCCTCCAGAGTTGAGTCCAGAGTTGAGGAACTCGGGTGAGTCAGTCAGGGTCCTTCTTTGGAACCTTCTGAAATAAAATTAAAGGAAGACAAGACCAGGAATATGTGAGCCTAAGGCTATAGCAATTATATCCCCTGCCAAGTGGAAGTCAATTTGTAATAGGAGGAAAGGATGCTGACACACAGAAGCAGAGATGAAAGGCCAAAGTCCTGAGGTGTTCTAGTCCCTCTTTCCTGAGGCCTTTGTATGTCTTCCAGCAAGGCCCTTATTTTGCCAAGCCTAACTTGAGTGGAATTTCTTTCACTGGCTCTTTTATTAATCAAAAGAATCCTGATTCATACAAGAGCACAAGGTAGTGACCCAGGGATCCTCTGGGCCCCACTCATGCGCCTCCCAGCCCTCATTAAGTAAAAGCAATTCTGTTTCCCCTTGATAGCCATTGTAGACCAGTCCAGACTACAGTGTACCTCCTTTCTTCTATTCCTCTGGTGTTATGCTGACCCAAATGCAATGGAATCATCTTTGTGTTCCCTGGTTATCCCCAGATATTAAAACCTCTTGACCTGTAGAACCTAGAACATCAGGATAGGATGGAAACTCTTAGAGAAAGTCATTAGGTAAGAATCACACGAGGTGCTACACCACTTCTACCTTTTCATATGAATTCAGGCTACAAAAAACAGAAAGCTACGTACTGATTGTTGATTTAAAGCATATATTGTACTGGGGAGGGTAAGTGCACAACCTCATAGGCAAGTCATCAATTGGTTATTCCCTCGTTCTATGAAGCTAATTGTTTCTAATGTATCAGATGTGTCAAATGAATTCCAACAGCATCAGACTGGAGCCTCTCTTTAGTCAAGGGTCACTCTGTGTGGGATACTGTACAATATAGTGAGTGCTCAGCTGGTGGTTCTGGCCACTTTTGCTTTTCAGAGAGCTGGGAGCCTGAAGAACAAAAAATTAGGAAGGCAGGGGTGTCTATATCTGCATATCCACAGAAAAGCAAATATAAATGTCTGTTACTCATTCACCAGAAGCTTCCTCAGTCAGAGTCCCAGGGAATCAGTCATCCCGGGGAAAAGGATATCTGAGGCTGTGTCCACCCAGCTCCATAGATTGCAGGGATTTAATTGGCAGAGACATAGAAATCACCAGAGATGGCCAGTACCAGCCTGAACAGGGCTCTGCAGCAGGCCAGCCCATCATAAAGATCCAGCAGTGGGCAGTGAGTGAGTATCTCGGCAAGCAGATAGATGTCAGGCTAGCAGGGAGCAGCCAGATCTAGGCCTTAGGAGCCTGGAGTGTCAGTCAAGGAGACAAGGAAGATGAGAGGTATTTCTACTCCAGGAAACAGGACTTCCTGGAAGAAACAGGTTTCAACCTCCAAGACCTTGAGCCTTCCCACCCATTCATTCACATTCAGCGCACTGTTACAGAGTACTCTACAAGCCAAGTACTGTGCTGGGAATTCAGAGCAGGATCAGAAGTGATGGCCTTGCCGAGTTCCCTGCTCAGAAAGGGAAATAGGAAAGAGTGGACTCTGCAGTGTGACAGACCCTGCAAAGAACTAAAAAACAAAAGTAATGGGCACAAAAGAGGGTAAGAGAAGCCTTCACAGACATGGTATCTGAGCCAGGCTTTGGAGGATGAATAGAAGCTCCCCAAGAGAAAGCGGAGGAAGGCAGAGGAGACCGTATGTGGTATGTGTGTTCAGGCAATACAGAGGAGGCCAGTGTGGCTGGAGCTTGTGGGGAAATGGAGATAAGAGATGAGGCTAGAGGATACAGTTGGCCCAGTTGTGAAATGCCTTGACCAGCCTTCCAAGAAGCTCAGGCTTCATCCTGTGAGCCAGAGGGAGGTAAGTGAGCTCAGAAGTCCCAAAAGCCTCCACAGCAGAATAGAGCGCCTGCATCTAGTCCTGGAGGACCAGCTGCGTTGCCACCGGCTTTCTTCTCTTTCTCTGTGCTCCTATCAACTGTCAGCTTCCCCACATGGCTTTGGGAATTTAGGTAAGGAAATCATTTTACCATTTTTAGAGTAAATCACAGTAATATGGCTTGAACATTGTTAAATAACACTGTAGGTGTGAACGTTGTTACTTGGGCTCCTTAGACCAGGCACAGCCCTGGAGGACCTTTGATGTACCCAAGAGCCCTTAAAGCCGTGACCTAGTTGTTTTGTCCATCCATTTCTCCACGGTCTATTAAAGGTAAAGTGCCCTTCCAATCCTTCAAGAAATGGCAGTGTGATGACCTTAGGTAAGACATACCCAGTCTCCACCCCACTACTGCTGTTTTCTTAGCTGTAAAATGGGAGAGTGGGGTGGGGAGGGTACATCGAATCTGAAGTTTTACAACTTTTTATTTTAAAGCCTTGGAATTTTTTTTCCCCCAATAAAATCTTTGCAGTATACGGAGTTTGAGATCTCTCTTCCCCTGAACCCTCTACCCTAAATGGTGCCTGAGAGGGCTTCCGGGAAGCTTTTAAAACTCGCTGAATGGGGCACAGTTTCAAATGTCCTCCCACCAAATGAACCTTGGAGATGAATCCTCCCATTCACTCTCCCTCCTGACCCTGAAGGGAAAAAGGAGAAATTGTGGGGTGTTTTGGAGCTGCTGTTAGAATGAAAGGTGGTGCAGATTCTTTCTACCCAGTGCACTCAAGTGGTAAATGGCTGCTCCCAAACCTCTCTTCCACCCCAGATGCAAAGTCCCAAGGCCACAATGGGAATGAGCTAGAGGAGCTGATCTGAAGGAGGAATGAGACACGGGGGTGCCTGTTCCACCGCCTTCCTAGCAGCTGCCTCTGTGGGCTCCCTAATCCCCATGCCCTCTCCCCCACCGCACCCTCTGGCCGCCCACCTCTTCTCCACTCATCCCATTCATCAGGAGGAGGGCACGGTATCAGTGCAAGCTTTCAGGGCCTGACAGGTCCTTTCTGGGTGCCCCCCACATGTAACCACTTAACCCCCAGCACAAAGGGCCAGGCTGAATGGGCTTCAAGCCGGAGGCTCGTGCAGAGGGGGAGGCCTCAATAGGATTTGGGGAGCAGAGGGTATAAACCGCTCTGCTCCAGCAACCCTCAATGGAGGAGTGGAGTCGGGGCATGTGCCGAGGGGAGGAGCCGGCAGCTGCATCCCGCCCCCGAACAATGATTTATTCATTCTCCTGGCACTCACAGAGAAAACAGGCTGGAGGAACTCGCCCCATAAATCGCCCTTGGCCTTAGCTGGTTCCCTCAGCAATTACCACGGTTCAGAGCGCTCCTCCCACTGTAATTTACTGCCTAAAGTCTGCCCTTCCCCTCCCGGTTACGACGTAGAGTACATTATGATACCATGGGAGACCTTTAGTAGCCTGAAGGTCAGGTTTACAGGCTCTTTGAATTGGCTCCACCTAATCTCAGTATCACTCTTTCAAAGCTTTCTGGTCAGGTTTTTTTTCACAGCCAGAGAAACTGATGCAGAAAGAAAGTGG